GATGATAAAATAGCGACAGTGTGGATAATTAAAAAAAACAACCCAAGATAAAATACCGACAATCTAGAATTTACATCAAAGAATGGCCATACGGTCAAGATGTGAGCAACTGGTGTCAAAAAATGATTCATAAATTGTCACGGTTTGGAAACTCGTAACTTAGAATATAAAAGATCACATTCTGAAGAACACATATTAAATAAAAACAAAATAGTCAAAGCTTGAACAACAGATTATATTATATTAAAGATGGGAAAATTAAAATGATTGGGACCTGACACTGATCATTTTCTTTTTTTTTCTGTTTGAATTATAAAATAGTCAGGGTTGTGACAACTGAATCATAGCATAAAATGACAATAATAATATTATTGTTCCAGTCCTGACAATAGTAAGAACACAAATGAATTAAAAGTGTGGTAAAATGTTCCAAATTTGGACAACTGCCGTCATAAACGATCCCAGCCAGGGGCTCACCATGCAGAATATACATACGTAGCATACACACTCAAAGCACATGCAGAATACAAATTAGCATACACACTCGAAGCACAAGCAAAATACATACGTAGCATAGGCCTACACACTCAAAGCACAAAGACTACAGTAGTCTCATAATAAGCTGGTCTCATATACATACAAGAGTTACACTCACTTAGCAAGATTTTCTCACAAATTCATACATGTGTCCAAGATTTTTAAAAATAGAGTGCAAGATAAACTAAATTTACAAAACGCAGGCAAATTCATTACACAATGATCACATACAGCAAGAAAACCAGTCTTACACACCAACGTAATAATAATAGAGTCCAAGTACATAAAAAACACAACGTCGAAAGATATCACAGATGTGTGTCAAAAAGTCCAATAGTAGATTTCTACCAGACGGTATGAAAAACAGACATTTCCATAGAGAAACAAATCTGGAAAAATAACAACGCTGAATGGAAAAGGAGGGACCAGACTGGATCTGAAATCACACTAGAGATCTCGTCAACAATTTTAAGTTCAGTTCGGCGGTAAAAGTTTTATGACACTCACCAGTGCATTATAGGTTCATATAAGTTTATAATAAAGACAAGAGCCTTTTTTTTCTATCAAACAGCAATCATCCTCATCTCTCCTCCTTCTTTTTTGTGTTTGTTACTCTCTTGTAATACCTCTAATCTTCGGCACGGCACTTATGACCTTATTGTGTTTGTTACTCTCTTGTAATACCTCTAATCTTCGACACTTATATGACCTTATTGTGTTTGTTACTCTCTTGTAATACCTCTAATCTTCGGCACGGCACTTATGACCTTATAGCATTGCAAGGGCCATAAAACTGCTACTGAAACTGAAGAAGACGAGACAGTCGTTAGAGTAGAGAAGACAGAAGGGTCATGGGCCTTGTTTCAAGAGATCATGAATTTACATCTAAAGAGAAACAGAGATGTACAGATTTAGGCTGATCGTTACCTTAGAATTACAAAGTTAAAAAAAAAGTTTTAGTAGAGGTTTTACGGCGCTCGCAACTGCATAAGATCATATGAGTGCCAGAAGATTAGAGGTGTTACAAGAGAGTAATAAACATAAAAATGAAGGAGGGGAGATAAGGACGATAGATGTTTGATAGAAAAGAAGAAGCAAATCACAGCAGAGCACCCGCCAACCACCCACTACAAAGTTTTGTCTCATATTTTTGCCTGTTTTGAGTTATTAAAACCTTGAGGTCAGAAACCAAATGTTCTATCTGCGGTACTGTATCAAAATTGTAAGTAAGATTATTTGGAGTCGTTGTCAAGATATTCAAAAAAATTGCATTCGAAAAAGCTTGATATGATGTGAAACTCAAAATTTTAAACGTCAAATTTATCAAAACTAGGTATACAGAGCAGATAGAGCTTTGCAGTTCTAGGGTAGCCCGTGGTTAGAACAAGGGAAAGATACACACATCGATGGCACTCTCATGGCTGACCAACACACTTACACACTGATGGCACAGTTGTCATGACAGAAGAAAAGACACATTGCTTTTAGTTTTAGTAATAGTTCTACTGCATTTGCAACACAATAAGGTCATATTATTATAACTGCCAAAGATTAGAGGTGTTACAAGAGAGTACCTTTACACACACACACAAAAAAAAAAAAAAAAAAAAAAGGAGATGAGATTAGGGTCTTGAGGTTTTATTACACAAGACTATGGTATGAGGCGGCCAAACACAATGATACAATCAAAGAAACCCATGTCCTGACTACGAAAGACTGTTGTCAAGATCTTGCAGCCGATTCGTTGTAGGGTGTATGGCATATAGGCTTAATGGAACGGGTGGCAAGACAAATCACCAGAAGAACACAGGACATATAAAGCCACAAGCATAGACTAAACAGGAAAGGGCATGGTTGATGGCACAGGACTCTTCTTCTTCTGAATGATTGGTGAAGTTTGTTTGTTTCGGTAAGTGTTTTACGGATGTCGGAGATCAGACTGTCCCCGTGGTTTTATGCACCCCGCATAATTTGGCAAAATTTGATCATTTTTTGCATAATTTCTGATTATTTTCCTTTATCATTCTTTGATAAAATTAGCAGTATCGCATAATTTCACATTTTTGGGCTCAGTTTGCATAATTTCAGAATTTTTCTTGCATAAAACGACGGGGACAGATTAGAGGTGTTAAAAGAGAGTAACAAACACCAAAAACAAGGAGGGGAAATAAAGACGATAGTTGTTCGGTAGGAAAGAGGAAGCAAACCACACTAGAACACCCATCAACCACTCACGTAGTTGATGTATCACGTCCCCTTTGATACAATTTACATCAATTAGGAAGCAGGCTGCTCTGAACTTGCTCATCAGGGCCAGCCCAGGCTGAGAGGGATGTATAGCTTCCCCGAAAGATAGACGGAGATACGTTACGTTAACAACATGTGTCGAGACGTGGTGAAATCAGGCGCTCGTCAATTTTTGGGCATATTGAGTTATTGGTTATCATCTTATTGCTTGTTATTTGCCTGTCTTTCGATGAAAAAAAACCCCATCCATATTTCTTGAATAAAATAAGATATTTGCGATTGAAGGAAGTGGGGGTCGCCTGGTTTCAAAGGTATAATTAGCGAGTAAATGGCCACCAAAAATTTAGCGATTTCCAAAGCTTGAAAGTCGTTAGAAATGGAAAATTTATATTTTGTATGCTCTTAGTCAATGTTTTTCAGTAAAATCAATACATGAATATTTTTAAAAATAGGCATAAAACGAGATGAGCTAAAAAAAACAACAAAAAACATTCGTCAAAAATGGTCAACCCGGCAGAAAAATGCAGATATCTTTGATTGAATTATTTTGACGAGCGCCTGATTTCACCACGAGGCCTCACAAATAACCTCTCCCACACCAGAATCAAACACGTACGCCTTCCACGTACAAAGGTGAACAACCTAATCATTAGAACACTCCTGCCGGTGTACAGGTATTTTCCATGGACAATGAGGTCACATGAGGATAAAAAAAAAATAGGCTCTTGGCTTGGAGAGGAAAACGGGAAACGGGTAGAGAGTGTGGGGGGGGGGGGGGGGGGGCAGCAAGGCTACTGGCCTTTACGAATGACTGTATATTATATAAAATATTCATAGTGCCCCTCATATGGTATATAATATATATATATATATATATATATATATATATATATATATATATATATATGTATATATATATATATATTCATGTGTTGTGATGCGGTGGAATCAGGCGCTCTTCAATTTTTGGGCATATAGAGTTATTGGTATCAACTTAAAGCTTTTTAATTTGTAGGCCTATTGCTTTTGATGAAAGAAATACCCATCTGTCTTAAAAATAGAAGTCGAAATATTTGTGATTGAAGGAAGTATTGGGGTCGGCAGGTTTCAGAGGTAAAAGCAGCGAGGAAATGGCCGCCAAAGTTTGGTTCTGTAACTTCCATGACAAGCGCCTGATTTCACCATGATGTTTCACATTATTATGCTGAAAAAATGAGTTTCTTCTCGGATTTTCGCCTTATGGAAATTGATACATCAACTTTATAGGTGGAGTTTGTACACTTTGTAAGTATGAAATAAAAAAAGACACGATAGACTTGAACTAAATGTCATCAATTGAAAATCTATAATCTGACCCCAGTGTCGATTTTCGGACGATATCTCCATTCTTGGATGGCGAGAAGTAACTCATTTTGTCAGCACGCCTCATATTATGCCCATAGCCGACACACACACATGATACACATGACAAAAAAAAGCACATAGCCAATACACATACATGGCGAAACATGGACATAGCGCTGGGACAAATTTTCAGCTCTTCAATTTTTTTCTCATTATACAAGTAAATTCTTTGTATTTGAAACATGCATATATTTCAAACAGATTTTTCACGTTCCTCTGGTTTAGTTACAGGCATGTAAGACTATATAAACCACATTTGCCTGCAATAATGAATTGTAACAATAACCAGCTCTAGTGGACACCAGTATTTAAAGACAATTAAACGAACAAACGGCCGCTTCCCATTTCTTACCTTGTGTATTTACTACATTACAATGATACTGTACAAGACAACCACCTGTCTAATAACACAACCACTTTTCTCCTTGACAATGGGTGGCCATTTTAGACAATTTCCACTGCATAAACTTTGACTTGAAGCACTATACAAAGCAATACATATTCATCAGTTTTCTGTTAATGTATGGTATGATTAATGAATCATTCAATAATATTTGTTTCCCATGTATTCAACTTGTCTATGTGCCAAAAACATGTACGCACAGTGATATGCCCTTGGTGTCTTGAGTTCCCATGTCAAATGTGTAATTTGTGTAGGCTATGTTTTCCTTATAATGCGTGGGTGGTTGGCGTGTGCTCAGGTGTGGTTTGCTCCTACTCTCCTATCAAACATCTATCGCCCTTATCTCACCATCTCACCTCCAGCTTTTTGTGTTTGTTGCTATCTTGTAACCCCTCTAATCTCCGGCATATATATGACCTAATTGTATTATAAGTGCCGTAACACTTTTACTAAAATAAACAGTTTTCCTATTATGCATTCTCTGCTACTACTTTCCACTACCTTCCACTTCATAAGTCCCAATCCTAATCCTGTTTACCTAGCACCTTCACACACTCATGTCCAATACTTCAATCCAATACAATCAAAACTTTATGCAATACCATCAATTATCCCTGCCCTTCGGCTCAAAAAACCTTTTCACCTCTACCCTTTTGCAACAGCACAATGCATCACCCCCCTCACTTCTGCCCTGTCGCAACAGACAACTGTATCACTCCTGTCATTTTGGAAACAGCTGCCTGTATCGTCCCTCACCTCTGCTCTTTCACCAACTGTATCACCCCCCTCACCTCCGCCCTTTCACCAACTGCATTACCCCCTGACCTCCAACCTTTCACCAACTGTATCATCCCTCACCTCCGCCCTTTTGCGACAGCCGACTGAACCATCCTCCTCTTTCCGTCTGCTCCATTAGCCACAGACACAGCGCTCTTGACCGAGCCTCGAACCGCCGCACTGGAGCGCACGCCACCCATCCTACCCTCTACACCACCACCTCCAGCTCCTCCTCTTCCCTCAGCCCCTGAAGCTTCCGCATCAGCATCCTCTGACGCTACACCCTGCTGCTGCTGCTGATGTTGACCTTGACCTCTTGCCAGTCCGGCCGGGGCGGTCTTGGGCCTGACCACCGCAGGGAAAGCCTGGGCGATCCACTCCTCATACTCTTCCACGGCCATCTCCACCACGCGTGCGCGGCAGAACTCCACGGCTGCGCTCACATCCGGGCTGCACAGCTCCCAGCGCCGTAAGCCTTCCAGGACCTTGAGGAACTTGTACACACTCTGCTTGCTGCTGTTTTCCACCTGTATGTGCACGCACGTGCGTGCATGGGTTGTAGGGGTGAGGGGAAGGGGTGGTTTGTAGGGGTGTGTTTGGGGGTTGTAGGGGTGTGTGGGTTGGTGGGTCATTAGGGTGAGGTGTGTGAAGGGTGTTGGGGGTGTTTGGCAGGGTAGGAGGGTGGGGTGGGTGGGGTTGGGGGATGCATTTTTAGAGTGGGGGTGGTGGAGGAATTGTGGGGTGAGGTGGAGGTGGGGGGTAGGGGTGAGATGGGGGAGGAGAAGAGTTAAAGAATAGAAAACATTATTACGTTGTTTTGAAGGAGTAGAACAATAACAACAACAAAATATATTTTTTAAAAACGCACTTAAATACAGGGTGCTGGTGGTTGGGGAAAAAT